TGCCCTCGAGCCTTGCCGAAGAAGCCTGCGCCGAGGCCCCACTCGAGGGCTCGTGCAGGAGCCGCCGCCTTGGGCACCTCCCAGAGCCGCCGCCGCAGGCGTGCCTCGCGAGGCTACCGTGCGATCTGCTCGCCGTCGGCGTCGCCTCCCAGGAGCGTCGGCACCCCGCGCCGGGCCCCGCTCGCGGCGAGGTCGGCCCACTCCTGTCGGGGAAACGTAAGACTCGAGTAAGCCTGAACACGGGTTTGCCGACGTTTTTTGATGAGCGCGTCCTAGATTTTGACGGTCCGGTTTTCGTGGGATGTTTGCAGCGGGAGATCGCGTCAAATTCCAGATTGGGTGTCGTCATTTTTATGATGGCCCCGTCAGGCCAACCCGAGGCCCCCGTACCCGAGTCTTACGTCTTCTCAATCCTGCGACCTGTCGACCGCCGTAAGGCCCAGCTTGACCACCTGGGTGTGAACCTCCCGCCGGCTGGCCCTGGACCCGAAGGCCGCGGTGACATTGCGCCCCACCGTCGTGAAAGGAAAGCTGGCACTCGAGGCAGCGGAAGATCCTGAACAAGTGGCCACGCTTTCTTCTTCTCGTCGTCGTCGTCCTCCTCCTCCTCCTCTTCCTCCCCCATGCTTTTTCCCACGTTGCGACGATCGCAGCGTGGAGCTGCGCTCTGGCGCCACACCCGCAGCACCCTAGTTGGTGCCAATTCGCGGGGATGTCCTTGTTCTTGTCCCGAACAAGTGGCGTACCAAGAGGGGCCGGACACACTCCTGCATGGCCGCTGTGCGCCGCCTGCGCCGGCCGCAGCCTCAGCAGCCCAAGCAGCCACAGCCCAAGAGCGTACAGCAGAGGCCCTTCACGCATCCTGGGATGCCAGCGAGCCCCTTCGCCGCGCGGACGCAGCACCAGCCCAGCGTCGTGTGCTCCGCCAACGCGTGCAGGTCCACCACCGCGTCTGAGGCCCGACTGCGTAAGCTTGCTAGCACGCGTGCCTTCGGCGGCTCGCACTCCTAGCGGGCCCTAGGCTTGCGGCAGAGGTGGAGCCGCTTGACATGAGCCTTCTCGAGATCCTCCCTCAGCTTCCTCGACGTGGCGCCATACACGAGGTCGTAGTCGACGATCAGGCCGTGCTCGTTGGTGCGGGCGTCGCTCCACTTGAGAGGCAACCGTGCTATCTGCCCGTCCACCGCGAAGTCAGCATGGGAAGGGTGAGAGGAGTGCCGTCTTCAGGTCGCGGTAGACGTGCTTGGGCGGTTCCCTCCCGACTCCAGGCCTACAGTGCCGTTTTTTTATACATGCTCCGCGTGCGGATCATGTATTAAAAGTACAGGGATTTAGTATAAAAACAACGATGAGTTCGTGCATACATTTATTCATAAATGGATCATGTATTCAAAATCAGATATTTTCAAACATCCTATGTATGAGAAGCTGCCCTGTGTAGAGTTGCACCTGTTGATGGATCCTCGTTGAGCTGGACCGCCACCCTGCCTGTGATCGTCTTAGTCTTGGTCTGTGCCCCCTCATCCACCGCCAGAGGTAGCTCACGCAGCTGCATGCCGGGGTACAGATGCGGCCCAGTGTGTCTACGAGACATGATGCCTCCTCTCGGCCTCGCTCTGAGGCTCCGCCGCTTCCTCCCTCCTCTTCTCTGCCTAATTCAAGCTTCGCGCGGCCCGCTTAGCTTCGACCGGAAGAGGTGCGCTCTCGACCCGCGGATCAAACAAGTGTCTATGAGACACGCGAAGGCTGCCAAGACAGGGATCAGGGGCAGCCCCACGCCGATCTGGATCCGGCCGACGAGCATGTCCCAGGATAGTCCAGACAAGAGGCGCCCTGGCATCTGCATGGGCCCGCCGATGTATCCGCCCTCGATCTCGGGCGGCTCGACCATCACGGAAAAACTGGCCACGAAGCGGTACCCCATGACGAACACCCGTGGGAAGTCCTGGTTTTCCGTGGGCAGCTCCATCTGAGGGAAACTGGCGTTCGTGGCATTGGAATGATTAATGTCAAGAGATTGGAAAACACAGACACAATTAATCGTCGACTCGCAGGGAAATATGGGAACAGATGGGAAGTGGGGGGAAGACAAAAACCCAGAACATGTATGAAAATATAGGGAATCTTTGGATGTGTGTGTGTATTTGTTTGTGTGTCCCAGGGCTCCTTTATAATGCTGGCGTTGAACCTGTCATTGCGGCCTCCTTGGCTGGGCGCCTCACTCCCTTGATGCTCCTCGCAGCACGCGTGCTGCTGCGAGCTACGAGCTCGTCCAGCTCGTCGTCTCCCGCTCTGGCCGGCTCGCCGACCCCCGCACCGAGGGGCTCGCCGACTCCCTCGCCGACTTGCTCGCCGACTCCCGCACTGACCAGCTCACCGACTCCCGCGCCGAGCCGCTCACTGGCTCCAGCACCGACCAGATCACCGACTCCCTCACCGACCTGCTCACCGACTCCCGCGCCGACCCGCTCACCGACTCCCGCACCGACCACATCGCCGGCTCCCGCGCTGACCAGATCGCCGACTCCCGCGTTGACCAGCTCTCTGAGGCGCTACCCAGAGGCGACCGCCGCGCCGACCAGCTCGCTGGCTCTCTCGCCGACCAGTTCACCGACTCCCGCATCATTCAGCTCACTGGCTCCCGCACCGACCAGCTCGCCGACTCCTGCATCGACCAGATCGCCGACTGCCGCGCCGACCAGCTCGCTGGCTCCCGCACCGACCAGCTCGCCGACTCCCGCGCCGAGGGGCTGGCCGACTCCCTCGCCGACCAGCTCGCCGACTCCCGCACTGACCAGCTCACCGACTCCCGCGTAGTCCAGCTCGCCGACTCCTGCGCCAACCAGATTGCCGACTCCCATCCCGACCAGCTCACCGACTCCCGCACGGACCAGCTCGCCGACTCCAACGCCGACTCGCTCACCGACTCCAGCATCGGCCATCGACTCCCGCGCCGACCTGCTGACGTCGAACAGTCTCGCACTGACATGTGGTACGATTTATTCTATCCGCGGATAAGACAGGGCACCAATCCCGGCAATGACACTGGGTACGGGGGAGGGCGGTCAAATCGTCAAATCATGCCCCCCCTCCGAATGTCATGGAGTTGGTGCGTGCGTGCTGCTCTCGCGGTGCGCAGTGCTGTCCTGGCCGAGTAGCCGTTAGCATAACAGCGATGCCAGCATTGCTTCCATCACCGACACCAGCATCGACACCATCGTTGACACCAGCACTGACACCAGCGTCGACACCTCATCCGACGCTGGCGCCCCAGCGGGCGTCGACATCCGCATCGACACCAGCGCCGGCATGGTCTGAGGCGAGCGTGGCTTCGAGCTTCTGAGTGTCATGATCCTCCTTCCTCCTTCCTTCTCCCGCCCCTCTGCGGACGTTCTGTGCGATTTTGTTTGTTGTGCGCGTGCATGTGCCAGGCACTCCCGCCGGGCGGGCCGCTGTTACCCCAGATTTCGTAATAAAGGGAGGGGGGTTTCATTTCGGGGGGGGTCTCTTCCAGGCTATCTTGGAGGGCCTGGGGGGTCTGGGGACGATGTTTTGGAGGGTTCTCCCACGGGGGAGGTCTGAAATGGCTTGTCTTGGAGGGTCCAGACCCCCTCCCTTTTATTACGAAATCTAGAGTACTCTGCGAGCCTCCAGCGCCCACTGGTCCGAGCTGCCTCCGTAGTTTGACGAGGCTTATGATACATTTATTTGTCGTCCTCTTGCCCGCCACCTCCTGGCTTCTCCCTCTACCGTTCTCCCCCCTGGCGCTGTTTTTTTTGTTAGCGACGTCCAGCTGTGTACTCAGGAAGTCTGGACGTTGGCTAGGGGCGTTTCGGCCACGTTCGCAGGACTGCTTGTCTAATGTTGTGTGCAATGCGTTGTACTGCCTGCGTTTCCGCCTCCTCCTCCTCCTCCTCCTCCTCCTCCTCCTCCTCGTCCTCCTCTTCCTCCTCCTCCTCCCCCTCTTTCCCTCTCCCCCTTTTCCTCCCTTGGTTGCCCATGTGTGTAGTCATCAGCTGGTGTCCGTAAGTGGCCCACATTTTCTCTGCTCGGCGTGGAGGCTGAAGGATAATCCGCAGCAGCAGCCGCAGCTCGCTCGGTGTTTCCGCTAGCCTTCTGTTCTCCGCGCTCCCCCCTCCTCTTTCTCCTCTTCCTGGCCATCTGTGCGCGAATATCAGAATGTGTTGTCATTCGAGGATCCACCTTGTCGCGTCAGCTCTGGACACATGTCCGGCCAATAATTGTCACGGGTAGCGCTTGCCTGTCCTGGCCGCGCGGCCGATGCAGTCTCGCGGTGTCTCTAGCGTGCTGACACTACGGGGGATGTATTGCACCAGTATTTTCTGCCCCGCGTTTAAGACAAAAATCCGCTTGGTGCTTCCCCCGGCGCAGTTGGATCACCTCAAGCATGCGCCCTTTGAGGAAGCTGGCGCGCAGTCCGTAACGTTGGCATCTTGCTGTCTGATGAAGAGGTAACTGCTTTTCGTAGCACGTGTCGAAGGCACCGCCCGTCAACCGCCGCAGCACGCCCAGCAGGTCGCACCAGGCGTCCAGCGACGCCGTTGGCGTGGCAGCCGGCAGCGGCACCGCTGCCGCCGCCGCCGCCCACGCTGGAAGCACAATCACGGTCGGGAGCCCGCAATCGGGCGGGTCCGGGCTTGCGCCGCGCGAGCCCACTGTGGGCGCGATCCCCTGAGTCCCCCACTCTCAGCGAGCAGGGAAAAAACAGCTGAGGTTTCCATCATCTGACCTGCAAGAGGCAGGGTCCACGCGTGGTCGCCCGATCGCACCATTCTTCCCCCTGACGTCCACCGATCTGTTGTTTGCAACCCGCGGCCCCAGAGGTCCCGACCGTTTCCCGGGAGTGGCTTCTCGTCGTCGATCACTGTTTGATCACCCCGGGGGCCGAAAACGGCACACGAAGGCCAAAAACGAGGAAGACCCGTGGGGATTGACGAAAATCAGCATCGTCGGGAGATGTGGACCCGCGCACCGCCCAGGCACGCGAATGGGCGAGTGGAGGCGGGGCGACTTCCGGCGCGGGCTCTGGGTCACGCTGACGGGCCTACCCAGCATCACCCTCGTGGGCAGGCGCTCGCGGGGCAAGGACGCTGCCACGCGCCCCAGCGTGCTGGACGTTCGGAGGAAAGAAGGCGGCACCACCACCACCACCATCACCAGGACTGCCGCCTCCAGCGACGAGGTCCGAAGATAACGATCACAACGACAACGATAACGATCACCACGATCACAACGATCACAACGATCACAACGACAATGATAACGATAACGATAACGTTAATGGTAATCCATCAACGACAGCGATAACGACAACGATAACGATCACAACGATAATGATGTGATCGTTGTCGATGCCTCCCTGAGTTGGGGACCAGGGATGTCTCGAGCGGGCGGGGGGCCACACCATCCGGAGGACCCGCCCTGGCTCCTCGCGCTGGTGGAGGTGTTGGTGGTGTCGTCTGTTCCATGCTCCCAGGACGTCGGGAGGGGCTGGTGGGAGCTGTGCAGGGGGCGTGTCGGCAGGAGGCGGCCGCACATGGGCGCGCACAGGGTCGACAGCGGCGACGGCGACAGGAGTCAGGAGGGGGGAAAGTACCCACCGATGCTCCTCCTCCTTCCCCCCTCCCGTTTTCGCCCCCGCGAACCTCTCTGGAGAGCCCTTGTCGCGACGGCTGGCTTCGCCACAGAATCTTGGCCTGATGGTGCTCTGGGGGGGGGAGTCTGCGGCGCAGCGGTATCAGTCCCTTCTTGCTCCCCGAAGGACACCACCCGGTTGCCGGGAGGCGGGCTTGGAGGGCTTAGGGCGGATGGCGATCGCGGGCGTCAAATAGGAGGGGGGAGAACCAGGGGTGTGTGGATGTCATGGCCTATCTTCTTTTTATTATTACTACTATTATTACTATTATTATTGTTACTACCATCATTATTATTATTATTCTTGTTCATCATATTATGGTATTCTTCTTGTTTGCATGATTGCTATTATTCGCGTTATTCTTATTACTATCAGTACTATGATTGGCATCCTTCTTCTTCTTTTTCTTCTTCTTCCAGTGCATCCCCTGGCCCCTGTTCGTCCACGCACGTGCCTCCCCTTCCCCGAACTTCGATGTCGCGATGTGTTCGCAACGTGGACCCCCAGAGGTCTAGGCCCATTCCCTGGGACCCGATCTTCCTCCCTTAAATCGGGCCTGTCCCTCTACAGGAGGGATAGTCCGAAATAGTCAAAATAGTATGGGGACGATTTTGAAAACTGTTATTGCATATATTTGGAGTTATTTGTTGCATTTTTCCCCACATCCAAAGTGGGGCCATTGCTTTCTCTGGACGCCCCGCGCAGGATCACACAGAGTCGATGTTTGACGGCCCCAGGGCCTGGCAGGGGCCTCCGAGGCCGAAAGCCGTTGCCGTGCAAACGCTGTCCGCCGTGATGCTCTGCCCCGATGAGTGGAGGTGGGCAGTGCTTGCCGCCCGCTTGGGCGCACCCGAGGTGATCCCGATCTCTGACCTCAGCATCCCCGAGGTTGGAGGAACAAAACACATACCGCTGCTTGCGGCAAGCCCCATCACAGTGCCTGTGCAACAGCGTCGCGGGAAGGAGTTCGAACTCTTAACGCTTCGCGCTTTCCCGCCAGCACATCGAGGAAGGATGCCCGGGGGAGCTGCCCTTCTCGGGGGAGCGTGGCATGGATGCTTCTCGGGGTCTCTGGGAGCGTCTTGGGGGCCTCCCGGCAGCTCTTGGGGGCCTCGTGGGGGCCTCTTGGCGGCTCTTGAGGGCCTCTCGGGACGCGTTCGGGGCATGTTGGAGGTCTCTTGGATCGTTTTGGGGGCCCTGTTGCGGTTTTCAAAGCCTCTGGGCGCCTCGGGTCTCGGGTGCCTCTTGGGGGCTTCCGGGGGCCTTTTTGGGGCCGCTTTGGGGCCTCTTGGGGTCCTCTTGGGCCCACTTGGGGCCCTCTTCGGGGCCTCTAGGGCTGCCTGGGAGCTGTCTTGGAGGCATCTTTGGCTATTCTGGGCGGTCGTAAACCCAAACAGGTAAGAACCACCAAGTTTTTCAACAACCTAGGTACTGGCAACCAATGTTTTTTGCCGCCTCGAGCTTTACTGGAGGGCCTCTTGGAGCTCTCTTGGGCCGTCTTGGAGTCATCTTGGGCTGTTTTGAGGCCGTCTTGGGAGCCCTTTGGGCGGTCTTGGGCCACCTTGGGGCGTCTTGGTGTCATCTTGGCTGTCCTGGAAGCCGTCTTGGAGGAGGTCTTGACCGTTTGGAGGTCGAATAGAGCGCCAGGAATAATTTCAGGGGGGGGGGCTTTCGGCAGGTGCGCGCGACGAGGGGCGGAGGGCGGGACGAGCAGGACGGAAAGAACGCCAGCGACACAACTTCTGCACGGGGCTTTAGCACCTCTGGGGGGGGGTGAGAGGGGCGTGGCCTGGGCGAAATTCGAATGTGCCCTCTGGGGGCCATGCTTGCAGCGCTACAAGGCTGCCCAAGACCGCGCAAGAGCGTTCAAAGATGGCCTCAAGACGGTCCAAGACGGCCCCAAAGGGCTTTGAAGAGGCCCCCTTTGAAGAGGGCCCCCAGGGCCCCCCATTGACTTTCTGGGGGGGTTAAAGGTTCTCACCTTTTCCGGGTTCCGACGGTCCAAGACGGCCCGAGAGGCCCCCAACATCGTCCCAAGACGGCCAACGAGGTCTCCGAGATGGCCCCAAGACAGACCGGCCCACGAGAGCCCCAAGACGGCCACAGAGGGCCCCAGGAGGGGCCCAGAACGATCCCAGAGAGAGTGCCCGGAGGGCCATGGGAGTCCGCCACGAGGGCCAGATAGGGCCCGAGAGGGCTCGCGGACGGCCCAAGCTCCAGAAAACGGCCCAAGAGGCCCCCGAAACGGCCCAAGAGCCTTCCCAGAGAATCCCCTAGACGGCCCGAGGAGGCAAAAAGCATTGATCGACCATAGGTGTTCCACTGTTTTTTGGGTGTTCGCCTTTTCGGGCCCAGACCGGCCGAAGACTGCTCCGAGGGCCTCCGCGACTGCCGCGAGACGGCCGAGGAGGCTTGCAAGAGGGCCCCAAGACGGCCCAAGAGGCCCCCCGGACGGCCACAAAGAGCCCCAAGAAGGTCCGAAGCGGGCCCCAATGGGACCCCAGGAAAAAGCCCAAGACTGCCACAGGAAGCCTCGAGGAGCCTGAGGCGGCCCCAAAAGAGGGCCCCGAGCCGACGGAAGCCCCCCGAGAGGGCCCACGAGGCTCCGAGGACGGCCCGCGAGCCTCCCAGGAGGCCCCCCCGAGGCGGCACTGCGATGCCAAAAGCACGGATTCTCCTTGGGGCTTCCGCTGTCTGTGGGGTTCTCGCCTTCTCGGGCGCAGATCGGTCGAAGGCGGCTCCGAGGGCCTCCGAGGCTGCCCCCAGAAAGGCCCCAGGCGCCCCCAAGAGAGCCCCGAGGGGGCCCCGGGACGGCCACAGGAAGCCGCAGGACGGTTTCAGAGGGGCGCACGAGGGCTTCAAAAAGGCCCAAGCAAGAGTCCCAAGAGTGCCGTCGGAGGCCCCAAAAAGAAGGCCGAAGAGAACCCCAAGAGGACCCCGGGACGGGCCAAGCCCCCCGAGACTGCCCAAGAGGTTCCCAGGACGGCCCAAGACAGCCCCAAGACACCCAAAAGAGCTCAGAGAGGACCTCTCCCCCCCTCCTGGACGACTCTATGCTGGACGCAGCTTTGACGCCAAGGCTCCCAAGAGCACCAGGTGGCCGGAAAGCCCTGTGCACACGAGTCGGTGACGTAAACATCTTTGAATGCCGAGGGTCTCAAGAGCAAGCAGTGGGCCAGAAAGTTCCGAATGCCCAGGCTCCCAAGAGCGCACGGTGACGTAAGCAGCTCTCAACGCCAATAATTCCAAGAGCGAATGGTTACTTGACTGTTCTTATTAAGTCCAAGGTTCCCAAGAGTGAGCAGAGACGTACACAACTCTTCACACCAAGGTTCCCCAGAGCGAACGGTGACTAACAAGCTCATAACGCCAATGCTCGCAAGAGCCAACGATGACGTGTGAACATCTCTGAACGCCAAGGCTCCCAAGAGCGAACGGTCACGTACACAACTCTTCACACCAAGGCTACCAAGAGCTATCGGTTCTGTGACAAAGCTCTTAATGCCAAGGCCCCCAAGAGCGAACGTTGCCATGAGCCTTCTCGGGCGAGCTCCCCAAGCGCTCTTTCCGTTCCTGTGCCGGCCCAGGTCCTAACACTCCACGCCCACTCCGTGCAGGCACGGTGGCGGATACACATATTTTCTCGGAGGTCCGCGCGGATCTCTTGGATTGGCGCCAGGTCCCTCGGGCGGCGTCCCTGGCGCCGCCCCTGGCGCGCTCCGCGCACCTGGGAGGGGGGTCCAGCGCCGATCCAGGAAATCAGCCCGGACCGAGAAACAGGTGGCACGCGTGCCCTGGCTCTTGCAACAAGGAGCTGCGAGGGACAGGAGGCTTTCGCCTCCTTCCTCCAGGAGTTTCCTTCTGTGGCGGGGGGGAGGACGAACGACGAACGAACGAACGACGACGACGAACGAAAATAAAGAGGTCCGAGCTCTAGAACACAGCTGTGCAAGAGAATCGTGTCTGTGCAGTGTTTGTTCCTGCAGAGGTCCTGCACGCCGGCGGCACCGTGTACTACCGGATCCGGGTGTGCGGCTCCCTCGGGGGTGGAACGGTGGGCCTTGGCGGCGGGTCTGCGGGAGGCAGGTTCCTACTGTCGGGGGTGGTCAGGGGCAACGTCATCGGCGACACCCCAACATATTGATACTATGTGTGCGTCGCTCCCCCAGGGGCGACGCGCGCACTGGGAATTCTTATAGTATATGCATCGTGGCGGGCGCTTTCTGGCCATACCGCTCGGGAAACGATCTACTACAAGATGGTATGCTATATGTTCGGGTCGGACGCGCGCCTCCGAGGAGGACATATAGTATTAGTATGTCTTTGTGCGTCCCACGTCAAGGGGGGGGAGCTCAAGGGGGGTGCATCGACCCCCAGCCACGCAGCAGCAGGAGGCCCGCAGGAAGCAGCTGGAGGAGTGCAGGGCGGCGTGCTCGAGCTTTGGCTTCGAGATCCGAGGCTTCCGCGTGTCCTCGTCGGTCCTCGGCGGTCTTCCAGGCTCGGGGAGCTCTCCAGGCAGCTGCGCTTCGCCGAGAGCCGAGGGCGTTCCAGGGGTGTCCGCATCGTCCCGAAGGGCCGCTGGAGGCCCGAGCTGTGGCCCGAGAGCCACGGCGGGCCTCGTTTCCGAAGGGGGGCGCCTCGGCCCGCGACGAGGTGCCCAGGCGCCGCCGGGGGGGGGCCCGACCTCCGGGGGGCGCGCGGGCTCGCTGTCCGGGGCCTGCCGCGGACCCGTCGGCGACGTGTCGCCGATTCCAGCGCGCGGTTTCCCCCCGCTGAGCGGGCCCCCCCCCTCCCTGGCGCTGCCCCTCGGCGAGATGGGGAAAAACGCGATACCCCACGATGCGGCCACTCGTCGGGGGTGAGTGGCCTCTGGTGTGCGCCTGAAGGCTCTCGGGCGCCATCGTCGGCTTCTGGAGATCGTCCTGTCTCGCGGTGCGTTGTCCCGCAGCTGCGCCTCGCCGAGAGCGTTCTCTGGGCGTGCCCGCATCGCTCCAAACGGCCGCCAGGGACCCGAGCTACGGCCCGAAAGCAGAGTGGCCATCTCACTGAAGTGGCCTTTGGTGCGTCGCTTTCGGTGATGGGCAAGTTTTCCACCACCACTACCATGTCTAGGACGGGGGAGAAGGGAGGATGAGGAGGTCCTCCTCCTCCCTTTTTTGGTTTCCTCCTCCTCCGTAGCCATTTTGGCTCAAGCCATTGTGTTTGTGCGGGCAGCCACTCTTGTAGAGCCATCTTGGGTGTCGAGCCCAACCGGACACCTATCTCACCTCAGACAGAGGGGGCCGCCATGGGTGGTCGTCGTGCGCAGAAGTCCCCTGGAGAAGAGAGTCGATCGAGGTCCCCAGCGGTTGGCAGCGCAGAGTTCCGCACCATGATTCAGGATCTCATGAAGGAACAAGGCCAGGCCACGCTGAAGCACATGCATGACCAGCACCAGGCCATGATGAAGCAGATGACCGAAATGTTCACGTCCTGCAGATGACTGGCGTGCGGGAGGAGGTCGACCATGCCAAGACCAAGATTGAGACGCTTGACAAGGAGTTCGAGGCGATGCGCATGTGTTCTGCGGCCTGGTGGCCATGGGTAACAGTGCAGCCAGTGCAACGGGAAGCTCGTCGAAGGGTGATCGCCCTATTGCTCCTCGGCATCGTCAGCCTGCCGCGGTGGAAAAAGTACCTGAGGACCCATACAATAAGTGGATTGGAGTGTGGCCACGCTCGGTGCTCGCCAGTACCCGCTCGTCTTTTCATGAACAAGTACGTAGACAGTACCCTCAACTCACTGAGAGTGTGGTGATGAAGATAACTGGCGTTGGAAAGAGCTACGGACTACAGTTACCAACGGTGGTGCAGGCGCAGCAGTTTTAGAGCCGCTTCAACGATGGCCAGGTGCGCTGGACTGCGCCGAAGTACAACACGGCGACTACGCTCTGCTGCAGAGGAGACCGGCCTTTGCCTGTGCGAATTCGGGCGTGCGAGTTTGCTTGGATCTACAAGCCGACCAAGACGTTGCTGAAGAAGAGTGCCAGGTGGACTGACAAACACAAGGTGGGTGTGAATGGAGCCCGTGGCGTACTCAGTGTTTTCAATGTGTAGGATGTCGATGAGTTGATCATGTAAAAGCACTCGGGACATGAAGTGGAGCGGTTCATGCGAAATCCGTCTGCCCTTCCGCTGTGGTTTATCAGCAGTGAGCAGATCAACGCCATCTTGGAGAACAATCCGCTTCGACTGTCGGTGGGGACGTGTGCGGCTGAATGTGGTGTAGCTGGGTGCAGTGACGGGGATTGCGTTTTTACACCATCGACGGAGCAGACGATCACCATTCCTTGCAGTCCGAGCAGTGGGGTTGCGCGTGTTGTTTCTTCATCTGCTACGCTTGCGATGACTTCGTGGTCGTCTTCTGTTCATGCTGGTGGTGCCCCAGGGGCTCCGCGGGCGCCGGCAGGGTCGACTGCTACATCGTTTAGGTCGCGGGACTTCGCGGGCTCGTTCCTTCCTGGTGATGAGCAAGGATCTCATGGAGGAGCTGGACACTCTGAGCACTCTGAGGCCACCCACCTCCTGCTCTGCCCCTCACCTCTGTCTGCCGCTTCCTTCGTTGCCTGTCCCTGGCCAGGAACTGTATAGTTCTCCCATCCTCCCTCCTACTGGGCTCTCTTGGGGTGCACGGATCTCGCGCGTTTGATTTTGCAGTGCTTGGACGAATCATGTTCGTGTGAAGTCGAAGCGGCGAAAGATTAGCTGACGCACTGAGAAGTTGGATTGCGTTTTGTTGCAGGAAGCCCATGGGACATCTCTTGCGCTATGTTTTGGGGCCTTCTTGGGTAACGGGAATGCTGGCTTTTTCTTTAACAGACAGCGGCTCGTGAACGCCTTGCTCAACTGTTTGATGAACCTGGCTGTGCGGTGGTAAATGCTGGCTGGGTGTTAATGTTTTGTTTCCGTTCGTGTGGACCTTGGGCTGTGCCTTTCGGGGTAGCGGTCTGTGCTGCAGGGTTTCTGGATCACTTGCCGAATCCAGGGGCAGCCTTTGCTTTTTTGGTTGGGGTGTTGAGTTTCTGCGAAGAAGGCGAGGCAAGACTTCGGCTAGATCTGGAACTCAGCACCACCTCATGGTCGGTTTCACTTGCAATTCTATGCGCTGCACAGTTTTGGCGATTCGGTGAGATGAACCAGCCAGGCTATGCACGTAAAGTATAGTTCAACACAACTCTCTGGTCTCCCTGGCCCGTCTCGATCGTCCGTATATCGATCCCCCCAGCCGCGATCTCCTGAACCTTGCCCTGATGTCTGGAGCCAGCGCGTCAATCGCTGGCAGGAGTGCCCCGTCCGACCACGCGCCTGCGCGCGTCGCTCTAGATGCGCGGCGAGACCAATTCCCATCAATTCCACAGCGAGCCACGAGATCGCCACTGTACGCGGCGTTTCTGAATGAGCTGCTGACACAGGTCGAGCTATCCGACTGTCCGCCGCAGCGCGCGTTCGAGCTCAGCGAGGCAATGCACGAAGCGAGCTCTCGCGTGACACGGAGGAGGGAGATTTTAGGGCCTGGGACCATTGACGAAAAGCTCTCCTGGATGGCTGCCCTTGTCCGGGCTCGTCGGAACGGTGGCCCCAGGGCTGCGAGAGGGCGCGTTGTGCGTTTAGTGAGCTCGCGCAGTATTATGACGCCCCCGTCATGACCTGGACGGACGTAGAGGGTTTTATCAGCGCGATCCACGATTGCAAGCGCAGGCACTTTAAGGATACCATAAATGGCGCTACATCGGACCCGGACTTGCATTACCAAACGAATGATTACTCACTGCGTGGAGCTCGCTATATGTGCATCCCATGTGTTATGTCATGCCATAGTGAGCGTCTGTTCATGAACGTTTGGCTATACTAGCGGCCTGAGACACCATGTAAACCGGCCGCGAACGGGCCCGTGTTCCTACCCCCTGGCGACTCCTTCTAGGGGCGCTGAAACCAACGCCCCGCCTGAGACATCCTCGAAGTCTGCTGTGAAAGCAAAGGATGTTGGGCATGAAAACGAGCAAGCCGCTTAGGACATCCCCACAAACTGGCCGCGAACGGGCCCGTGAAAACACACCTGGCGGCTCCCCTTAGGTGTGCTGAAACCAGCGCCCCGCCTGAGACATACTCAAAGTTTGCTCTGGAAGCAAAGGATGTTGGGCCTGAGGGCGAGCAAACCGCTTGAGACATCCCCACGAACTGGCCGCGAACGGGCCCGTGAAAACACCCCTGGCGGCTCCCGTAAGGGGCGCTGAAAAGGGCGCCCCGCCTGAGGCATCCTCGAAGTCTGCTCTGAAAGCGAAGGATGTTGTGCATGAAAACGAGCACACCGCTTGAGACATCCCCACGTACTGGCAGCGAACGGGCCCGTGAAAACACCAGTGGCGGCTCCCTTTAGGGGTGCTGAAACCGGCGCCCCACTTGAGACATCCTCAGAGTTTGCTGTGAAAGCAAAGGATGTTGGGCATGAAAACGAGCAAGCCGCTTAGGACATCCCCACAAACTGGCCGCGAACGGGCCCGTGAAAACACACCTGGCGGCTCCCCTTAGGTGTGCTGAAACCAGCGCCCCGCCTGAGACATCCTCAAAGTTTGCTCTGGAAGCAAAGGATGTTGGGCCTGAGGACGAGCAAACCGCTTGAGACATCCCCACGAACTGGCCGCGAACGGGCCCGTGAAAACACCCCTGGCGGCTCCCCTCAGGGGTGCTGAAACCAGCGCCTCTCCTGAGGCATCCTCAAAGTCTGCTCTGAAAGCAAAGGATGTTGGGCCTGAGGACGAGCAAACCGCTTGAGACATCCCCACGAACTGGCCGCGAACGGGCCCGTGAAAACACCCCTGGCGGCTCCCCTTGCGAGTCTTAGTATGGCTAGGTCTGAGTATGAGTAGGTCTCAGTCCGTCAGAGTATGAAAAGGTCTGAGTATGTGTAGGTCTGAGTATGAGTAAGTCTGTGTATGTGCAGGTCTGGGAACGAGTCTGGGTATGAGTAATCTGGGTATGATGGAGTCCCAGCATGAGTACGTCTGAGTATGAGTAGGCCTGCGTATTGTGTGTGTTGAGTAAGTCAGACCATGAGCAGGTATGACTATGAGTAGGTTTGAGTATGAGTAAGTTTGTGTATGAGTAAGTGCGTTCTCTCTGGAGTCGGCGGCGTCCGAATAATACCAAGAATCCCATCTTAGGATATGTGGAATAATAACATCAACAGGTTGACTGGGCTTTCCAGGGCCTGCGCGCCCTCCCATCGGAAGTTAAAACTTCGCTCTGTTGTCGACCTGGATGGTTCCGCGCACTTTGGCCCCGAGGAGTGCTCTGCGGCGCTGGCTAAATGAGTTTTTTGGTTTTCGGGGGGGGGGGCGTCGCTGGGCCGTTCCCTTTCTCTGGAGATGTGGGCGCCCATGGTCTGAGTGACCCGTTTTCGGGCCTGCTTCGGGAGTTTGATGGCCGCGCCCAGAAGGCGCCGACGGACTTCGCGCGGAGGGTGGCGAGGGGGGACTTCATGGAGTTTCTTTACAAAAACGCTTTGGTTCCGCCCCTGGGCCCGACGGGGCCCCGCGCGGCGCCTGGTCTGGGTCCGCGGTGGGGGGCGGCTGCGTTGATGCCTTGTTTGGCCACTATGTGTGTGTGTGTGTGTGTGTGTGTGTGTGTGTGTGTGTGTGTGTGTGTGTGTGTGTGTGTGTGTGTGTGTGTGTGTGTGTGTGTGTGTGTGTGTGTGTGTGTGTGTGTGTGTGTGTGTGTGTGTGTGTGTGTGTGTGTGTGTGTGTGTGTGTGTGTGTGTGTGTGTGTGCGCGGTGGACGGGGTACTTCCACCTGGGTCCAACGCCTCGCTGGGCATTTTCCGTCCGAAAGGGGGACCTGACCCGCGCGGTCTTCTTCGGCGGCGCGCGGTGGGGGCAGAGTTCGCCTCGTGGCTCTGTCGAGCGCGGGCGACCAAATTTCGGCCGCGGCCTCGGCGACGACGACGACGACGACGACGACGACGACGACGACGACGACGACGCCGACGGACGGCGACGCCGACGACGACGACGCCGACGACGACGACGGCGCGCCCCTCCTGGGCATGGGAATTGTTCACCTCGTGCGCAACGGTTCTGTTCCAGGAAGGCAATTGCCGGCGAGCGTGATTTCCACGGGCACGAGACTTGCTGCTTGGCCTGGAGTTCTTGGCGCGACAGATGTTGGTGGCACGTCGTTCGGTATCCGCGCAGATTTCCCGTCCGTTGCTCACGGACGGCTGTTTCGAGTTCTTGCGCGCGTGGGTTTTCCTCGCTTTCCGCTCGGCGCTATCCACGCGACGTGCCCAGGTGCTCGCGCCGTTGTCTCGTTTCGGGGCAATCGATCGCACTCATTTGTACTTGGCCGGGGGATTCAACGAGGATGTCCGCTCAGTGGGGTTTTATTCGCTTCGGTGTTCGACCCTCTGGATCGACTGCTTCACTCTCGTACTGCGCCTTCTCTGGATTCAATGTCAGTTTGTGCTGGCGACATCGCGCTGGCGTCGCATAATATTTCCGCTGCGCTACCGCTGTTCGTGCGGACGCCGTTGCGCTGCGAGGGCGTTGCCGGCTTGCTCCTCCGCCCCGACAAGACCGCCACTGTTTCCCCCGAGCCTTTTGAGGAGGAGGAGGAGATCCGCCAACGTTTTCGAGATCGCGGTCTTTGGACCAGGCGGTTCTGTTTGGCTTCGTCGGCCAAACATCTTGGACTTCCTCTTCGGTTGGGTGGGCACCTGGACTCTCGGGTGGCCCCCGGGTTATCCTTGAGCTCGTGGCGTGGGGAAAGCACCGTGTAAAAGCACTGCGGTCTACAACTCCATTGTCTTCCCTGTCGTCTCCGATGCGGCGCAATCATATGGGCCCTGGTCGTTTGCGCCGGCGGAGGAGTTGCGGGCGTCGCAACTACTCGCGGCTGGGTCTCGGAACGCGCTCAGCCAGGATATGCTGTGCCACGTGCGCTTGTGCGGGCATGGAAACGAGGCTCGGCATCTGCGGCGGCACGTGCAGGCCGCTCCTGTCAAGACGCAACGCAATGCTTGGAAAACGACTGCTCGCTATCGACGTGGGACTGTGAATTGCTGTATCTCTGGGTGTGAGGGTGCTGATAGACTCCGTCATTACCTGTCGTGCCCTCGCCTTTATCATGCCCTGAGCCATCTTCTCCCCTTTTTCCCTGATCCTGGCCTGGTGAACCTAGCAGAACTCACCTTCATCCCCTGTCTGTTCCTTGCTCGTCTTCCCTTTTCGTCTCGCGCCGTTCTCCGCTCCGTTCCGGTCGGCCCTGACCTTGCTCTTTCCCCCCTTTAAGTCGTTCCGCATTCCAGGTGTGTCTTCCGAGCTGGCGTTTCGAGAGGCATGTGCGGCTAAGGCTCGCACGGTCGCCTCCCGCCCTTCCGCCGCTCGCAGCCTACTTCAAGGCCGCGATCCTTCTGCTGCCGCCGCTGCTCATCAGGGATCATGGGACTCTGCGGGTGCAAGCGTGCGCGGGAGAGCGAAATGCGCCCCCACAGCATTCCGGATTCTTCAGGGGATGGTTTCTCGCGGTTCTGCGCCGAGCGACGGCCCCCCTTACGGCTCGCACGGCCGCCTCCCGCTCCCCCGCCGTCCGCAGCCTGCTTCACGGCCGCGATCGTTCTGCTGCCGCCGCTGCTGATCAGGGATGGTGGGGCTCTTTCTCCCCTTTTTTCGCTCTCGTGTCCGCCCTTTCTTGTCCCCCGCTCGCTCTCGCGTCCGCCTGCCTCCCTCTTCTTTGTGAGCGTTCCTCCTCCTCCTCCTCCTCCTCCTTCTCCTCCTCCTCCTCCGCTTCCTCCTCCTCCTCGTCGTCGTCCTCCTCCTCCTCCTCCTCCTCCGCTTCCTCCTCCTCCTCCTCCTCCTCCTCCTCCTCCTCATCCTCCTCCTCGTCCTCCTCCCTCTCCTACATCTGGTATTGGTGGTGGCAAATGGGCCCATCATTCGGGGGGGCGCGCGGGAGCGGGGCGGGCAAACCCCGCCGAGCGGGCCGCAACTGCAGCATCGCCGGCAGCGGCCTCCAGGCCGCACGCCAGAGGCCGCCGCGCCTGCCCAGGGCCTGCATAGCACCCCGCCCCGGCGCCGGGGCCCCCCTGGGCGCTGGTGCGCCCTGCAGGGGGCGGCACCCGGCGCCCCCCGACGTCCGCCGACGTGGACTATGTCGGCCCGCGGCCCCGGAAGCCCCGACCAGGAGGAGGGGGAGGAGGAGGAGGGGGAGGAGGAGGAGGAGGAGGGGGAGGAGGAGGAGGAGGAGGAGGCACCCAGGGGGGGTAGTTTCCCGATTTGGATCGGTGTCCCATCATCCTCGGCCCGAAGAGGACTCCGGGCTGGCCGACCTTCGGGGGGGCCCGACACGGCGCAGGGACCACACCGCGTGGTGAGTCCGTGGGACGAGGCCATCTCGGGCCATCTTGTGATCGCGCGGTGTGGGGGTTTGGCGAGGATGCCTCGGGCATCGCGGGCTTCCAACAGGTCCTCCAAAACGGTGCGGTGACGAGCTTCGGGTGGTGAGCTCTGTGCGGCGTTCGAGGTCACCGCGCGGTCCGTCACCGCGCCGGCTTGGGACCCCCGCAGAGTCTGACTCGCTGTCTGAAGGGGCGCCAGCGACAGAGACTTTGACACCGCGGCGTTGCACCCGAGACTTCGCCCATGTGCGAGTGAAAGCGTCGTGCGGCGACCTCGTGGGCGAAGCCGAGCGGACTTGAGAAATCGGCACCGCCCGTCTCGACGGTCCCTTTCCCCGGGGCCCTTCTCGGAACCGCGCGAGAGCCGATGAGAAGAAGCGCTGGCTTGACGAATCGTATCGTCGGAGATCTGGGCGCCTCGCCCCGTGTCCGGGCCCCCTTGAGGAGGAGGAGGAGGAGGAGGAGGAGGAGGAGGAGGAGGAGGAGGAGGAGGAGGAGGAGGAGGAGGAGGAGGATCATTGGGAGGAGGAGGAGGAGGAGGAGGAGGAGGAGGAGGAGGAGGAGGAGGATGATCATGAGGAGGAGGAGGAGAAGGGGGAGGGCCGAGGCTCGGACGACCTGGACCTGGAGTCGCGCGGCATCCACGACGCCTGGAGCGTGCGGCGCTCCTACGCCGACTTCCTCGGCCTGGCGAATCGGCTGGGGAGGCCCGTGGTCGGACGAGAGGGTCGGCGGGACGCCCGGGCGCCCGGGCGCCCGGCGGCGCTCGGAGATGTGCTCGGAGGGGGAGGGCGACGACGACGACGACGACGGCGGCGACGGCGACGACGAACGAGAGCACCACGACGACGACGACGACGACGACGACGACGACGACGACGACGACGGCGACGACGACGACGACGAGGCGGTTTTCGACGTCGTCGCCTGCGAAGTTTGTTGTTTTGGGGAGGTGCTGGCGTTTCTTGCCGTCACGCCCAGACGCAGCTCGAGCAGCTCCTCCCCCTCTCCGTCCTCCTTCCAGACAATATGATGTATCGAGTCCGGCATGTCCCTCGACAGGAGGAGTATTCAAACATAGTTTTAAGAATAGTGTGGGGGACGATTGTGTGACTATTTTTTAGTATGTTTAAGTATTTTGTGGGTATTTCTTATTTTTCGTCCAAAATCCGCCTGTAGGGGGACATGCCCGACCTAACTGTCGCATTGCTTCACCACGAAAACGGCGCCTCTGCGCCGCCATGCAGTGCCCCCGCGGCACCCAGACTGGAGGCCGCTTGTCCGCTTGTCCGCGTGGGGGGGGGGCGCGAGACCTGCTGCACGCAGCTGGGTTCGACCCCGCCGCCGGGCGTCTGTTTCCTCAACGCACGGGCGCCTCCCGTCGCCAGGAGGGTCCGCTGCCCTGACATCCGCCGTTTTTTTTTTTTTTTTTTGTTGTGCTTCAGTCCGCGGCCACAGGGGTCCTGACCGTTTGCGCGGGGGCGGTTCTTCGTTCTGGGTCCACGTTGGGCTGCCCCCCGGGCTTGAAACGGGCCCTGAGGGCAGAGATCGAGGAAGAAGCGCCGGTTGAGATAGTCATATCTCAGGAGGGGAAAAAAACACAGACACAATTAATCGTCGATCCCCAGGAAAATATGAGAAAATATGGGAAGTGGGGGGGAAGACGAAAATCCAAAAAATATGGGAAACTATAGGGGAATCCTTTCATTTGTGTGTATTTATTTGTGTGTCCCAGGGCCCCTTCAATATCGTCGGAGGTCCGGGTGCGTGCGGTGAGTCGCCGCGGTCGGCACGACGAATGAGGAGCCGGCCGGCCAGCGGGTGCCCCCCGGAAGCGTCTCACCCAAAAGACACGCCCCGCTTGCCTTCAGGGTGCCCTGGGTCCGCTGGGTTTCCTGGATTTCGACGGTTTCGCGATGGAAGGCGTGACGCTCCCACGCCAAGAATCAGCGGACGTCCTGGGGTCTCAGGGTTGGGGCTGCTTGTGGAAGGTTTCTCTCGTGGTCGAGCCAAGTGTGTCCTATCGCCCGGTCGCCCTGAGGGTCCACACAAGTTCTGAGCACCTCAGGACCCCTCAACATGTCGACGAGGAGTGTGCCCCAAGATTTCTTACTGCAAGATTTCTTATCGCATGGGTTTGCTGTAACCCTCCCTTGTTACTCCTCCTCCTCCTCGTCTTCCTCCTCCTCCTCGTCTTCCTCCTCCTCCTCCGCCTCCTCCTCCTCCTCCTCCTCCTCCTCCTCCAGGCAGAGCCGCGAGTGGAGGGACGCGCCGTTCCCCGGGAAGTTCAGCGCCAGGAAGCCCATCTCGCAGCAGCGGGAGGCCCGCAGGAAGAAGCTGGAGGCGCCAGAGGAAGAAGAACCCAGATCTCTGGCGATATGATTGTTTCGAACCGGGTACTCCAGATTTCGTAATAAAGGGAGGGGGGTCTCATTTCGGGGGGGGTCTCTTCCAGGCTATCTTGGAGGGCCTGGGGGGGTCTGGGGACGATGTTTTGGAGGGTTCTCCCACGGGGGAGGTCTGAAATGGCTTGTCTTGGAGGGTCCAGACCCCCTCCCTTTTATCACGAAATCTGGAGTAGCTTTCCTCGAGTTCGAACCCCTGGGGACCCGGTGCCGGGCCCTGGGGCCATCAAGAGCGGATCCAGGACGAGAGACAACCCCCGAGAAAGGAGGCGGGGCATCTGGGGCGGCGTACAGTGCCGTTTTTAATACATGCTCCACGTGCGGATCATGTATTAAAACTGCAAGGATTTTTTAAACTCAACGATGCGTTCATGCGTGCATTTACTCATACATTAATTATGTATTACGAGTCCTATAGTTGTAAACATCACATATATATATATGTATATGTCTATTTATATATTGTTTTTGTTTAAAGCTGCCCTGTATGGAAAAGCGCATCGACGGGTGTGTGGCAACCAGAATGAACACACATTTTCTGAGCGCTCGGCGCCTCTGGCGCCGCCACTGGCGCCACCCCTGGCGCGCTCCGCGTGCCAGGGAGGGGGGGGGTAACCAGCGCCGACCCGAGAAACATCCGCGCGGACCTCCGAAAGGTCAGTTTCCAAGCAGTGCTTCCACTGGGGAACTCTGGCGCATCTAACTTTAAGGCGGGCCTGTCCCTCTACCAGGGGGCATACTCAAAAATAGGACAAAAGATAGTCTGGGGATTATTTTTGGAGTATTCGGAGCTTTTTGTCTAAACATTTTTCGTAGAAAAAACCCTAGTAATTATGGGGGACACGCCCGACTTAACTCTTACTGCAGGGGCGGGGTGGGTACGGCGGTGTTTCGGCTTGGGGGCGCTCGGTGCCCGTCCGTGGGCGCCGCGTGGGCGCCACGTGGGCCGCTCGAGGGCGCCACGCGGGTTGCAGCGCACAGCCTGGGTAGGGGGCCGGTAGGGGGCCAGATGCGAACCCTACCCCTACCCCCCACGATTTCTGAGGGGGAGGGTGGGGTTCACTTCGCTCGGGAGCTCCCGAGCGAAGTGAACCCCACCCTCCCCCTCAGAAATCGTAGGGGGTAGGGGTGGGGTTCGCATCTGGCCCCCTACTGGGCCACACGGCTTGCACCGCTCGGCTCGCAGCGCGCAGGTTGAACCGCAGGGCGTCCACGGCACCGCCTGCGCCACACGGCGCGCGCCGCACGGGTTGCACCACGGGAGGGTGTGCCGAAGAGGGCCTCGCCTCCGAGGATCGAAGGGGGTTACCATCTCTTCCACGGCGGAAGGTCGGCGGAAGTGAAGCAAGGCCACCTCCGCCGGCGGAAGCTCGGCGGAAGTAAAGGATGCGCCTACAAGAGATGCCAACATTTTCTGGCACATGTGGCACATGGCTCCCAGAATCGCCCACACACTTACACCACGCAGCTGGAACACCACGCAGCTTGCAGCACGCAGAGGTTGCACCGAACAGCTTGCACAGAGTTGCCTGTACCGCATGGCCTGCGCCACATAGAGAGTGCACTACCTCCGTAGCCATTTTGGCCCAAGTTCCCAACACCTTTCGAAGGGTTGGGAGCTTGCCGTGGCCAGTCTGGCTCAGTGGCGCCGCCCTCGCGCGTCGGGTCTCCTCCGGGGGGGCGCGCGGCGGGGTGGGTGCGCGGGCGCGGGGGTCCTCCTCCCCTCCTCCCTCGCCACCGATGTCCCTCCTCGCCGGCGGCGAGGCGCTGCCCGCCGGGGGACACTGGTGCAGCTGCGGGGCAGCTTGCTGGGCGGCACAGCCGGCGGTGCTTGGCGTGATCCTGCGCCAGTGGGCGCTGCCGGTGGCTGTGGCGCCCCCTGGAGCGCTGTCGGCGGCTGCCGGGGCGAGGTGCGGGCGCGAGCTCCTGGACCCTGCAGCTGCGGGCGCCCAGGCAGGCCCCTGCCGAGGCGCCACGGGCTGGTGGGCCGACGTGGTGGAGTTGCGAGCGGGGGGCCTGGCGGGCGGCCCCAGGTCCCGCCGAGGCGAGGTCGTCCGTCGCCGAGGCACCAGGCGGAAAGCTGTGCACCGCAGCGTCCGAGGTCGCCGCCGCCTCCAAGGCCATTGCAGAGGCCCCCAGGTCTTGGGGGGGGCCGAGGCCGCGCGCCCGTGCCCGCGCGGCGCCCTTGCGCCCCCGCGCGGCTGGCGGTGGGGCAGCAACGACGACGACGCGCTGCTGGCAGAGGCCATGGTCGGGCGGAAGCAGAGAGTCGGCTGATGGTAGCCGATCAGTCGGTGGAGATGCAGGCCTCGGAGGGCGCTGTGGTGCTCGTGCCCGGCTGTGCGATGTTGCGACCGCCTGCGCTCGAGGTCGCCGACCCGACGGGGATCGACGGGACCGGGCTCGATGGGGGCGTCGGCGTGCATGGCGTGCCCGACGAGATGCAGGAGGACGACGGCATGGGCGAGCCTGTGCTGGATTGCGAGAAGGGGCCGATTCAAGAGGGGGCCCAGGGCGCCCTGGACTGCGACGGGGGCGGCGCCGGGAAGCAGTGGGACGAGATGCGCGTGGCCGATGCCGCGGGCAAGTTGGGGGCTGGCGGCAAGTGACGCCGTCGGCCGAGGCGCAGCGCCCTCGCGGAGCAGGTGGACGCGGACCTAGCGCTCCTGGAGCAGGAACGCGCAAGGGCGCGGGACGAGAGGAGAGAGCTTCGCCGCGGCAGCGGCGGGGTGGATACCCTCCGTCAATCCATGGCCGCCGTCGCGCGCGACACGGAGGAGCACGGCGACGCTGACGGGCAGCTCTTGGTGATGCCTGAGTGTTTCGCGGCAGAGATCGATTGGCTTCAGGGTGGCATTATACCAGAGCAGCTGCTGAATGATCCTTGGCTCTGAGGGGCTGGTGATCTTTTCTGATGGGTGGGTTGTGAGTGGCGCGTTTCCTGCAGCTGGTGTCGGTTGGTTTTTGCAGAGATTGCAGCGCATCTTGCCTTATGTGTGCATATTTCCTGATGGCAGTTGTTGCGATAATAGCGAGAAAGCTGCGCGTGCCTGGCACCCAAGGCGGTGTTGGAAGGTAACTGCGGCTGCAGCTGGGCTGGAGCCTAGTTCTGTCTGTCCGCGAGCACTGATCGCGGGCATGTGGTCAGTGTGAAACAAAAGAGAGTGCACTACCTAGAATGCACAACGCACATTGCGCCACATATTTTGCGGCACAGACTGTGCTCCGAATGGATTGCACCGCGAAGCGCGCGCCACGTGGCTCACGTGACATAGCTTGCAGCATGTAGACTGCACCACGTAGATTATACCATGTAGTTTTATATCGCATGGCTTGCACCACGTGAGTTCTCCATTCAACAAAAAAAGCCTCGACCGCTCGATCCCCCTCGGTCTTCTCCGCGCCTTGTGGGAGTTTGCAATTTGCGTGTGGTTCCACCTCGTCGTTTATCTTTAATCGCGCCATCCCAGCCGAGCCGCCCCCCCCCCGTCTGCCTCGGCAAATCATGCTATGCGCGCGCTCGCTCATCGCAAAAGATCATGTTCCAATGGCCCCCGGCAAAAACTATCCAGGCCGAGGATCCGACCTCGCGCAGCTGCGAGTATCGCGAGGCAGGTGGGGCAAAGGACTGGATGCCACGAAACGCGTGAGGGGCGTGCCGAACTGGAGACGAGCGCCGCTTGCGAACCCTGCCGCTGGGGCCCTCAGTGGAGCTCCCAACGGGGTCACGAAGCGCGCGATGTGGCGTGCCGAAACGGAGGCGGGCACCGTGTGCGAGCCGCAACTGGGGCCGTCGGTGGAGCTCCCAATGGAGCCGCGAAACGCGTGGCGAACCCTGCCATTGGAGCCTTTGGTGGAGCTCCCAATGGGGCCGCGAAGCGCGTGGCGAGGTGTGCCGAGATGGGGGCGGATACCGCGCGCAAGCCCTGTCATCGGGGCCTTCGGCTCCATGTGGGGCCGCGAAGCGCGCGATAGGTGCGCCGAGATGAAGGCGGCTACCGCGTGCGAGCCCCGCCGCTGAGGCCTTTGGTGGAACTCCCTCTGAGGCCGCGGACCGCGTGGCGAGGTGCGCCGAGATAGAGGCGAGTGCCGCGTGCGAGCCCTGCCACAGGGGCCTTCGGTGGAGCTCCATATGGGGCCGCGAAACGCGCGATGCGGCGTGCCGAAATGGAGGCGGGCACCGCGTGCGACACCTGCCACTGGGGCTTGTGGTGGAGCGCCTCATGGGGCCGCGAAGCGTGTGACGGACGCGCCGGAATCGGCCTTGTGGTCGCGGGCCGATGACGATGACGATGCTACTCTCGTTGGTGACGAGGATGTTGATCGATTACGGTGGTGACGCTGATGATGATGACGAGGACGATGATGGTGGTGATGATGGCGATGGCGATGGTGATGGCGGAGATGCTGTTGCTGATGCTGATGGTGGTGATGCTGATGGTGTTGAGAATGATGATGACGATGATGGTGCTGATGATGCTGCTGCTGATAATGATGGCGATGTTGATGGTGATGGTGATGGTGAACGCGGCGGGGATGCGGATGCTGAAGGGCGATGGTGATGATGATGCTGCTGCTGATGATTATGAGCGTGGTGATGGTGATTCTGATGATGGTGATGATGATAGTGGTGATGCTGATGCTGGTGATGATGCTGATGATGATGTAAGTGCAGCGGGCGCAGTTTCGATCGTCCGCCCCGCGGCCGATTTCGGACCTCAAGGGTTTTTTTGTTGCGGCGCCAGAGAGGCGCGCGGGCCATCCCCGCAGGGCGAGCGCATTCTGCGGGCGAGCTTGAGGACCTTCGCGGCAGTTATCCTCGCCGCGACCAGCGGTCTCACCACAGCCTTCGCCGGCTGGGTGATCCGCGGGGCTTTCTCGGGCGCGGCCGCGCCCGCGCGCGCGGCTGGGGGCGCCGAAGTGGCCTGCTCCGAGATCCCCACCCAAGCCTGCCACTGCCACTGCGTGTGGGAGGCGCCCAACGGCGGGGGCACCCATGGACTCGAGCTGCTCGCTGGGGCCTTTGTCGCTGTGCCCTTCGCTATCGTCGGAGCGCTGCCGACGCGCGCCAACGGGGCGCGTGGGCGCGGGGCCGCAGGGGCCCCTGGGTCTAGCGCGGTTTCTTTCCGGAGCGGACGGACGGGCCGAGCCGACGAGGCCATGGGCGAAGGAGCCGCAGATCGCCCGTGAAGTACGAGGGCGCGGGCGAGGAGTCGTCACGCGCGCGGCCGTTCTTGAGCGACATGATTGGAGGTGTCGCAATCGCCAGCTGCCCAGGCTACGACGACCCCGATGAGGATTGCAATGGCGTGGGCATGTTCGAGATGGGTAGATTCTGCGGAGAATGGGGATCTGGCGTTCGGCATCGGGGGCGGCAACCTCGACGCCTTCGTTGCCGCGCCGACCGACGCCGAGGTTCAGCAGCTGCATTCGAGGCGCAGGCGGTGGTCGAGTTCCGACCCGCGGCTGCGGCGGCGGCCCCCGCGGTGCCCGAGGTCGCGGCGACCGCGCCCGCTGGCGCGGCAGGCTGTGGGGGCCCCGGCGCAGCAGCACCGGCGGCAGCGCCGAGGTGGGTCGTCGCGGAGCACGTGGACAGCCGCATCATCGGGGAGATCGTGCCAATGCTGCCCGGGGCCGAAATCCTGCATGACCTGACGCCGAGCGCGTTGATGGGGGAGCCAGCGCCGCGGCCCGTTTCGGCCAGGCAGCTTGCGAACTTCCAGGGGGGGGGGGGGCGTCTCGCGCTGCGAGGATCGAGTGGTGCAGGGCGGAAGCAGCCCCGCGCGAAAGCGACCTGGTGGTCGAGGGCGGTGCCCGAACGTTCTCGGAAGTGCACGGTCTCGACGGGCGTCGACGGCGGAGTGTCCGCATGTCGGCGCAGGGGGCGATGATGGTCGACTTCGGCTACTCCCCGCTGGCCAGCCCATGGGCGGCGAAAGGGGCGCTGCCGCGAGACGATCAAGGGGGCCGACGGTCCGCTGGCGCAGTACTTCCTTCGAGTGGCTAACGAAACCGCGGATCCCAGGTGGCGGCTGGCCGTTCCACGTTGGCTGGAACCTGGCCTTGACCCAGGCGCGGGCGTTCGCCCATGACCGCCTCGACGTCCTGATCGTCGCGGGTATTGAGGGGGTCACGGGGGAGAAACGGGGGGCGGCCGAGCATCGCGCCCTCCGCGTCAAGCACGAAAGCAGAAGGGGGAGGGCCGCGGGCGGCGGGGCCGCCGAGGATGGCTAGCGCGCAGGGAGAGGGGGGCCGAGGCGGCTCGGCGGCCCCCCTCGCCCATCAAGAGCCTCGGCGCAGCTGCGGCCCCCCCTGGGCGAGCTCCGCCTGGGCGGGGGTGCCTCGGAGCACGCTGCGGGCGACGGCGGCCCCCGGGCTTGCGGAGTCAGCCGCCGCAGCCCTCCGCCGGCGGGGCATCTTTCCGCCCCCCCGGCTCGCCGAGATGGAACTGGCCCGCGAAGCGGGGTTGGGCCGCTCGACGACGCGACGGATCCATTGCCTGTCGGCGGTCGCCAAGGGCAGCAATTGGTCGGTTGACGCGCTGACAGGAATGGCCTGCCCTTCGCGGCGCGCGCGAGCTCCCGTGCCTGCCGCAGTGCCGGCGCGCTGTCACCGTGCATTTGATTGCTCGAATTCGCCTGCTGGGCCCCTTGCCCCGCGGGGCCACCCGCTCGGGCGCCCTCGAGGATCTCCTAATTTTCCCGCAAACTTGCGCGGGGGGTCCTGGGCAAGGGCCCCAGGCCCCCGTGGCCCAGCAAGATTTGTCGCTCCCCTGTAGATATGGCCTCGGTCTTGACAGGGGCGCGCCGCGAGTGCCTGCGCGATTTTGAGGAGCGAATGCGCGTCGGCGCCTCGGCCTGGAGCGTTCTGTCCGCGCGGGCCCCAAAGGCGCCGCCTTGCGTGGGCCCGCTGTTGAGGGGGCCCGGCGGCTTCAGAGCTTTCGCGTCGGCGTTGGCCCCCGGGGGTCTCACGAGGTTCGCCGCCGACCAGCCGCCAGGATTAGGGCGCGCACCGCGCGTGGGCAGTCTGGGAAGCAGGCTCTAGTCCTTGACTGACGGCTATGTAGTCTATGATGTTATGCACCGCCACCGCTCGCCGAGCTTGGCGGCCCATGTTCGTTCGGCGATTCAGAGCTCCCGACAGGGCCAGCCCTGCACCTGGGCCGGGGCGGACATGCACTTGATATTGTTTCTACGAGCGCGGGATCCCTGAGGGTTTTTCGGTCTCCTTGGCTTTCGGGGTGGACATGGAAGTGACTGACTGGATTGGGTCGGGGCATCCGGTCGACGCGGTCGAAAATTCAGTGAGGATGAGTTCGTTTCCGGGAAGTACCCGGTCGTTCTGGCAGGCCCAGGAGTGCCATGTCCAAGTCGCCAGTCGCCAAATGATCCGGAGCCGCATCCTGGCGGTCGGGCGCCTTGCCTCCGGCGTCGGAGTTGGCGAAGCGGCGCGCGTGGGATACTGCGATGACATCGGCGCCGGGGCTATTCCGAGCGAGCTGGCGGGCGCGCTTCGCGACGACCTCCGGGCGAGGATGAAGGGCGACGTTTCCACGATCCACCGCGCTCGCGGGCCCGATCTCGTCGCCCGCGCGCCGGGGTCAACGTTCGATGGGGGCCCAGGCGCGTTTCGGCCTGACCCCGCGAAGCATTCGGAGCTTATCGCCGTCTTCGATTGGTTGAGCAGGGGGGCCGTTAGCTCTGGGAAGTCGGTCGAGAGGGTGATTGGGCATTTTTGGAACGTTGCGATGCTGAACTGGAGTTGCCAGTCTTGCGGCGTCTGTGCGATTTCGCCGCTCGGCGCGAAGTGCCCGAGCGTCTCCTGCCAGCGGGCGAGGGATTTGCTGCTGCGTTGGCGACCAACGGCCGCCTTCGGCCGCGATGGGCCCCGAGCGAGTTCAATGTCCCGGGCGAGCCCTCGCACGGGACAGGGAAGGCACGCCGCGAGCGAGGGCCCCAGTCTGCCCCCCCATGCCGGCGAGGCG